ACAGAGTCTCACTCTGTCACCCAGGCTGGAGTGCAGTGGCATGATCCAAACTCACTACAACCTCCACCTCCTAGGTTCAAGCAATTCTCATGCCTCAGTCTCCCAAGCAGCTGGGATTACAGGCGTGCATCACCACCCCTGGCTAATTTTTGTATTTTTAGTAGAGATGGGGTTTTACCAGGCTGGTCTTGAACTCCTGACCTCAGGTGATCCACCCACCTTGGCCTCCCAAAGTACTGGATCACAGGTGTGAGCCACTGCACCCAGCCCACCCTAATTTTCAAATGGAAGAGTTAAATACCATCTGAGAATCCTGCCATCTTATGCAGTGCACCTAACACACACCCAACAAGGAATCTTTTTTGCAGAGCCGTTCCTAGCATTAATGTACCATACACAATGAGTACTTTCCCAGACTTTTTTCTATCCTGCTTTTTTCTATCCAGGATAGAATTCAGGAGGAGGGAAAAAAGGTACCACCAAATTGTGTTGCCATGTAGGATTAGAATGAATAACGGATATGGGAACTTCTCCAGGACTAAAACCTGTCCCCCACATTAAGGTAAACCAGGTGCAGAGAGGAACAAGCCAACCACGAGAAGACACAATTAAGTGGCAGCTCAGGCGCCTGCCTCAGAGAAGCAGAGGAGAGGCTTAATTACAAAACCAAGTGAATGACATTTAAATAAGATTAAAAACAGGAAGGAGACAGAGAACTTCCAGGAGAGCACAAATAAATGTTTCCCAAGAATCAGGTCAGAGAAAGCTATCTGAGCAGCTTTTACATGCTACAAAGAGAAACAGAAAGCAAAGACAACACTCAGCCAGACTCGATTTTGTGGCCTGGCATAGAGCTAGGATTAGGTGACACAGAACCCAAATCAAAACCTGTTCATTAGAAGAGACAGAAAATTTCACAGTGACTGATAAAAGAATAATATTACCATCTTAGTTGCTTAGGAGAGAAGTCAAGAAACTCAAAGGACAGGATGAAAATAGCACTAGTGTTACAAGCTAATGCCACCAAAACCCTGGAGGCACTATGAACTCTAGCCGATATGAGCATCTCTGGACAAAATCACCAATTACTCAGGGACATTGCCAGCAATCAGCAGGCTCACTGTCAATCAGTAAAGTGGTGCAGAAGAGAATCTGAAGCCAACACCTGCCAGTAGAATAATTTAAAAATACTCAGCCAGGTGCAGTGGCTCACGCCTGTAATCCCAGCACTTGCGAGGTAGGTGGATCACAAGGTCAGGAGTTTGAGATTAGTCTGGCCAACATGGTGAAACCCTGTCTCTACTAAAAGTACAAAAATTAGCAGGGTGTGGAGCTGTGCCCCTGTAATCCCAGCTACTCGGAATGCTGAGACAGGAGAACTGCTTGAACCCGGGAAGGGGACATTGCAGTGAGCCAAGATTGTGCCATGGCACTCCAGCCTGGGCTACAGAGTAAGACTCTGTCTCAGAGGGTAAAAAATAGGTGGCTTTTCAGAATATAGGCATCTGTCTGGCTACAGACCTAAGCACTTCACTGACACAGAGGCCAAAGAATCAAACAAGAAAATGAAATGGCTCTGGCTGTATGCTCTCAGCCTCTCCAGGTAAACAGAGCACACAAGTCAGTCTGTCAACAGCCTGCACTGACTAAAGGTTCCACATTCCTCTAAGGCAGAAAATAGAACAAATCCTTTCTTTAAACGCAAGTCTGCTTCCATCTTTACCATTTTCCTTGCAGTCAATGTGTATCTGTTAAATAAATAAATAAGGTTCTCAACCGTCTTCCATTCCCCATTTTCTTGCAGACAATGTACACCTCACAATTACGACCCAACGTCTTCTTTTTCATGAAAATTAGTTTCTACATGAAAGTTCCCAGATCCTAGACTTTGGGAAATGTTGGGTCCCTGTGCAGCTGCCTCTAACCAAGCATGCTTAGGAGCCACTGCCTTCTTCTAGGGCCCAAACCACCTGCTCCTTTCCCCGCAATATTTCCCAAATGAGTGATAGCCAAAATCACCCTTAAAGAAATGTAAAAGTCAATGAAACCATGTCTCAGTGGAGCCATCTGACACAGAACCAAGAACTCTGCTTTTTGCCAAAATGAGGTAGGACCAGTAACAGACTTGTCTTGCTCCTTCGGGATCCAGAGAAGGATAATATCTTATGAAACCACATGATACATCCCTTTGAAACTAATATAGGCAGAGTAACAAAAGCACAGCTAATCCTTACTCTGTCCCTTTACTTGACGAAATGCTCATGGGCCTATGAGAGTTGACATGATTCTGGATAGCAAGTGACTACATGCACAGAGAAAAGAACAAAGCGATTTCTTGCTCTTTTGGGGGCTTTCACGTGGGAATCTTTTTCTCCCTCTAACAGGCTAAACCTGTTAGAGATTCCTATCTTTTGCTTCTGCCAAGTTTCTGAGGGGATGAGAGAAAGATTCAAAATAGTGTAAATTTTGGATTCAGCCAAATGTAGTGATTTGAAAGGGAAAAAAGCTTCCTGGCATTCTTTTTTAGTCCTTGGGCTTTCTATACTTCTGTAGAGAATATTTCATAACTACATTTCAGAACCAGAAAGATACCTTCTAATGCCCCTGAATTAGAACATTCTAACATTGAGAGGAATTGATTACCCATAGAGGAAAAAACGCTCTCTATTTTTGCATATGGAAGCTAGAGCAATCTTAATTAGGCACATCAGCCTAGAATATATCTTGTGACATATTTGCCTAAATCAGAGAGAAATGAGGAAGAGCAATTTTAAAAACAAGATAGAAATAGCAGCTGCCAAATTTCCCCTTCCCATCTACTCTAGTTTTTACTGCTATGTTCTTTCCCGCCTGGATACTCTCTTCAAAACTAAAAGAAGCAATATTGTAGAGTTATATAAGATGTCATCAC